TCTGTGGAACCACAAAACAAGTGCGCGTACAAACAATTGTTGACAATAGTATCACGCTAAACACTGATCCTTTGTATTGTGCATAATATTTGTAAAATGTATTAGGCCTAGTCAACATAATAAGATTAGGTTATTGGCAAATCAAAGAATATCTATATTTTAAAGGTCAATTACTGATTACTACATAATTAAAACACATTTTCTTGGATTTGCCTACTAAATCAAACTAGGTATACAAGAATCTTGTGTACTGTATAAAATTTGTAAAATGTATTACCGTAGTTAAAATATTGGAAAATCAAAGAATATCTAGATATTTTATAGGTCCATCACTGATTACTACATATTAAAACACATTTTCTCAGCGACAATAATTAGCTGAGTAGGATTTGCATACTGAAAATTAAACAAGAATCAACTGGATGATTTCCTTTGACATTATAATTAATACAACTAAATGAGGTAATTTTGTTAAATTGTGCAACAATATAGTATTCTGAATGTACTAATGAATAGTACCTAATAAATAACACTGACATATTATGTTTACATAAAATGCACCATAACATATCTGTAACCTTACTACCAAAGTATTGTATAAAGTGTGTCACCCATTTAATACTAGTCCTATATTTAATTTTGTAAAATTGGAAAAATAATAAAATACACTTACATAAATGTTGGTAAACAAATATCCAAACACTACCACTCGTGCGGAACTAAGAACACTGATTCAAGCGACAACACAGACCCTACAGCACCGAACGCGCATCTGACACTGACAGTGACAAGAGGAACAAGAACAAGCGAGTCGAGTCGAGCGAGAAACGTGTGGTCTAGGTGGGAGCAGGGAGGGATTTTATCCCCGCGGCGAAATAAATAATATCCTGTATGTCAGGTAAAAATTCCCTCAACGTCTCTGTCTATAAAAAATAGCACCCCTAACAACACTTCTTATGAAGATTGATTGTAATGTGAATTCACAAGCACTGTTGATTAATTAATAGGTTTTAGTGTAAAAAAAGCTAAATTCAAGATTGTATACTCATGTTTTGGAATCTTGATCGAATACCGGCACCCTAATACGAGCTATTCTGTTGGTTTTTTTCTGTCTGTAATCTTTATCTCGAAATCCAGCCGAAGGATTTAGACAAAATTTAAGAATTAGGGACTTAGAGTAGAAACATGATTGACCTCAGGAAAACTCGTATTTCGCTATACAACTCATTCGAAAAAAATTACATTGGCCTTATGTGTTATGGGTTTGCTTGAACATAATAAGGTAAAAGTAAACAAAATACTTGTAACATGTGTTCTAACAAACCATCCACAGTACACTAGCAAATTACAAAATACAGTAAAAAATGAAAAAACATCAGTTGTTACTACAGTATTGAGCATAAATTGCACTGAATATGACTCGATATAGGGAAAAATAGTTCCGATCAAATACTGACCATTTTACTTGGCTGTCTCTTACCAAACTTAAACCACGGAGTATTCAGGCAATTGTTAACAAACATTGTTTTAGCAGTGAAATAAATAAATTAATAAATGTTTAGTAAAACTATATTTATTTGATGTTTAAATAAGAATTCAAACAAACATTTTCAGCCGTTTTAGTTTAAACAAATTGTCAATACAATGTTTATTGCAAGTAGGCTGCCTATTATAAACGGGTGATTTTTACCTTTGACCGTAAAATAAATTAATGTGTTGTGGATTGCCAGGTTAAAATTGCCATCATAAATACATTGAAATTCCACTGAAACTTAAATCATAAGCAATGTAAATAAAACGTGAGTTTCCTTTATATTGCCTTTACAATCGAAATTAACTATACCGATACATGGCTCGGTCTTCCAGTACATTTCAATTCGAGTACAAAATAAAATAACTAAGAAACTTACTATAAAAATAATATTATTTTTAAGTTCGTAATTTTTAAAGCGAATATATCTGTAAACACAACACTCAAATCAACAGTTTTGGCCCAACATACAACACAATGTTTTCTTGGTGTGACCACGAATGCTCAATATATGGGTAACAGCCTTCCTCAATAAAATGCAATGCCAAGATCAAGTGATTAATCTGTCAGGTAATCCATCCTAGCTTCGGTAATTACCAATAGTTGCTATGTTCATTTTAAAGTTGATTACCTGTAAATTAGCAATGCATCTTCATAAAAAGGCAAAAAAGGACACAGTACAATTCCAATTCATAAAAAATATTAAATCGGCATTACATAATAAACAAACACATTACATCACTAAATGAAAAATGTCAATTGCTGTGCTAACTATCTAATTAATTGTGCTAACTAATTAATTAACACAATGTCGAAATTGCAGTAATGTCAAAAATGTAAAGCAAATAAAGATCGTCGTTCTCTTACTATAGTGAAGGAGAAAATATTCATTTTCACAGTTTAAATTGATTCAACCAGTGTAGTGTAATTAATCACACCCCAGATTAGGGAATATTTCATTTTATCAGCAACTAGCAACCTGCGTCTCTTCGTGACTTCAAAATCCGTGATATATTTGATTTTATAGTTGAAAGGGTATAAGGGCGAAAAAGATTATTTCTCATCATATCCCTATTATTTGCATTGCGTACGCGATCTCTTCAAGGTATCTCAGTCAAAGATACTATGAAAACACAAAATCTAACGTAAGTCATACGTAGTGAAAATTAAGAGAAATCTAGAATAACACTTTATCCAAAATCGCTTCGTTAACCAGATATAAACCATTAAGTAAGTTTTACATTAACATTTTTTTCTTTGGATTGTTTAGCCAATCTTTATGAAACGTGGTATTATGTTAAGGTGAAAGAGACCCATGTTAAAAAAAAGTTATCTTAATGCAACTTAAAATTTCAAAACAGCAGCAGTTTTAACTTTTTAAACTCAAATAAAAAAATTGCATATTTTAGGAAAACAATTCAACAACGCGTTTTTCATTTAGCATTAACAAATTTTCATAAAACAACATCAAGTTCAAAATGTTGTTATTAAAAATAATTTAAATATCACGATTTAAAATTGGCTCGAATAAGGCTAAAATTAGGGTTTTAATGAGGTTTACCTCATTTTACAACTTAAAATCATGATATTTCAGTTATTTTTTATTCGATCTTTTTGAACTTTGTGTCGCACACTTTTATAGCAATTTTGAAATTTCTATCTTGAAAAATGCCCAAGATATAAAATAATTCTTAAAAATCACAAACAGACCGACAAACAGAAATTTAGGCATTTAAAATTTAAAATTCCCATGTTATTCTTATGGAGAGTAAATAAAATTTTTATAGTTTGCTTGTTTATGGATATATTTTAATAAAATTTGGAATTTTTTTAAATTTCATACTAAGCTATCAACATTTCAATAAAAAACCTACCTTCCCTGTGGCAGCATACCTAGGTGCTAATTAAACTTAATGTTTTTTTAAATAGGAAAAAATCTGACAATTTTCAGGGAATATTTTTGTAGAAATCCAGCCAGGTAAATGGAGATTCGCTTAGTCTGCAGGTTTTCTGCGGCGGGGGTATTATTATTCCAGATATTGAAAAGAATAATAAAAATCGTTCACCTGCACTGAATTATTATTATTTTTTCCTGGCTGCGAGGACAGAAGATTTATAACATTATTGTTGTGCGCGCTGCCTATAGTCGTCCTTGGTTCACTTAAACAGTTCGAACAGTAGTACGTTTTCTGTGGTTCGAACCTTTAACCATAAAACCTAGGCTACTCCCTTAGTATATTTCCTATCCTTATGGAAAAGCTGAAGCAAATTTTATAGTTAGTTCTGTCCAGTCAGGCCCACTTTTATAAACGGGTAGACTGGGCATATGCCCAGGGGTGCCGGTGGTTTGAGGGCGCCCGCCAGCACTAGGAAAAAAGGGGGCGCTGATCTTGGGTTTGCCCAGTTCTCCACTGATCCTTAACGCGGCCCTGTGTCCGGTACACTGTAAGAATAAGAATAAGAATAAGAATAAGAATCCTTTATTGTCATTAGACACAGTTGTGCAATAGACATTGTCAAAGAAAACTATAAACTAGAAAATGTAACAGAGTCATGAACATTATCACAGTAGACCTTATATAACATACATGTAAAACTTAGCCTATATCACAGAAGAGATCACAGTTGTCAATTGAGAATAAATATCATGTAGAGGTCGTGTTTTGTTTACAATTTGTTTCTTGTTATTTAAGTAATTTAAAACCCCGTTTAACCAAATAAAACGATACAATCATAAACAAAAACGCATCCTCTAAATATAAAACCGAACAGTAAAGTACAAAGCATGCTATTATACTAATATATATATATACAGTATATATAATATATATATATTTGAATTTAAACAGAGGGTGCTTTTGGCCTCTGGGGACCTCAAAACGAAAAATTAAATCGGTCCCAGGTCCAGGTCTTATCATGAGTACTACGGTAATAGCTTATCCCTATATGGGAATTTCTCAAAAAACTAACCAGCACTCTCTGCTATACAAAAAATTCAAGCTTTACCAGCACAAATCAATTGTTAAGTAAAAACTTCTTTTTGTCTATGGTAAAAACTAAAACTTTGAAAGAATTTAGAGGAAATTTTATGTCTTTCAGTGATTAAAAATATCCATATATGCGGACAGATGTTTTATGTTATTACGGATCCAGGAGATGTTAGACCCTAGCTGCAAGACTTGAACTTGAAGCCTGCGAGCAAATGCTCAAGTTATACTTTTAGGTATACCGGTAATAGCATCGTTAGGAATATTCCTACCTATATTCTGTTCCCTTTGTGTTTCCTTCGCTGCTGTTATAATGTCGTTTGAAACACAATTTTGAATTTTATTTGGATATTTTATCAGCAATACTTAATTATACAGTGTAGTACACTAGAGTTACATGGCAATAAGCCTTGTCTGCGGAACCATAGAAAAGAAGAAGAATTTGCTCACTCTCCACTGTCAAAACAACCTTAGCTGACGATCCTTGATAATCATCAAAACGTAAATACTCGTTTGTTGTTTCGTTTGTGCAATTAAAGACAGTGTTTAAACTGTTATTAATGTTCGTTATAATATTATAGTTTGATGATTACACTTTTCAACGTTTGTGAACATATTTCAAGTTGAATATGGATAAACTGACGTTAATATCAGGCACTTTGTTCATGGCTGCTGATGTTTTTGCCATAGTTAGCCTAGCTATGCCTGACTGGATTATCACTGATGTTGGAGGTAAGGAGTCACATGTAGGCCTAGCCTATTAATTATAGTTCACCGAAGTATTCAAATACCAGCATGGACCTAACAGACATGCCCGGAGGGTTGAGGGTAGCTGGACTTAGTAGGCCTAGCCTAGGTTAAATAACAAACCATAGGGACGGGTGGCGTCGTCATGCAAGTTAATCCAGCTACTAGGAGGTCACGAACTGTGGATATTTATAGGCATGTTCTGTGGATGCACTACTCCCTGGTGTGGATTAACGTCCGCACGAGTGAGTACTACGACTACCCGCAGTACTATCCTGATACTTAATAATACCAATTTTTATACCAAGGGAAAAATGTGGTTCGGATTCCACTATAAACTGTAGGTCCCTTAGTTGCCATTAGCTGTATGGGCTATTAATTAACAGCTGCGTCTAAGGAATGTCGGCCTTAGTCACTAACAAGACTACAAGATCGTGCCACTCATCTCCATTCATGCTTGGCTTAAAATACCTACTTTGTATGGTGGCCATTTCATTGAACAGTATTAACAGTTAATAATAGGCCTATGCCTAAGTTATGTGTCTAGTTTGTGTTTTAGAATTGATAAATTAATTGTAAAACTTGCACATGGATAATCAATTGACTTATAGAAAAAGTACTTATAATGGTGGGAGTTAGGCTTAAGTTACTTACACGTTTAATAATATAATATGGATACTGAGGGTACAACTTCCATTGATGATGGCCCTCCTGATGTGCATAGGCTAGGTTTGAGGTTATTTGCAAAACGTAGCTGTAAATACATGTATATCAGTGTTTTTGAGGATGGTAGGATAAAATATCAAATTTCCACTATATTACATTTGAGGGGAGGAAGCTAGGAGGAAAGATTATTTACCTTAAAAAATTAGATTTATATTAATAAATAAACAATACGATGTTCGATTCGATATTGGTTATAGGTATATCGATACGGGCATTTCAATACGCTCCCATGTATCAATACAAAATATCGATACTTTCCAGTCCCTTGAATCGATAACTTATATAGGTATCCGTATCGATACGCACATCACTATGGTAGCCTAAGTTATAGGCCTAATGTTTTACAGGTGACACAAGATTAGGCCTGATGTGGACATGCATGACGTTATACAACCGACCCCAAATCTGTTTCACACCCGATCTCCAGCCTGAGTGGCTGTTGGCTTTGGTCTGCATCTTTGTTGGCTGTATTTGCATCACAACAACCATAATTCTATTAGCTTCTTCACACTGGGATAGGAATGTCATCCCCTATGCTCGCTGGGTCGGATTTACTGCAAGTAAGTTGTTAATTTGAATCCTGATTCCTTACACAACAGTATCTTAAAATAAGCCTAATAACCAACAGGCTATGAAGTTAGAAGCTATGTGGTTTTTAGCGAATTTCCCATAGGCCTATAGGGAATAAGCTGTTACCGTAGTACTTATAGTAAGACCTGGACCCGGGACTGATTTACTTTTTTGTTTTGAGGTCCCTAGAGGCCAAAAATACCATCCGTTTAAATTCATATATATACAAGCTGAACCCGGCAGACGTTGTCTTGCCTTTGACTATTAATTTAAGTACCATTACGTTTAATTTTCAAGATGATCTCGTTCGCATGGCTCAATCACGTCCTGGTTGAAGTTCGTTCGCTACGCTCACTCACCTTTCGGTTGGAGCTCCGTTTAAATTCATATATATATATATGTGTGTCCGTTAGCACGATAACCCGAGCAAAAATGATCCAATTTTGATGAAATTCGGGACAAAAGTGTAAACAAACCTACATTTATTCGAACGAGTTTGCAAACCAGCATGATCGGACTATGGGAACGGGGGTTTATGGGGAGTTTTATGGGAAAAAATAGGTTTTTCCCATTTTTGACCCTAAAAACACAAAATTTCTTTCCAAACCATTTTGTAGAGCTTAAAAAAAAAATAATTTAGTATATTGAAGAGTTATTATCCGCCTAATGGTTACGGAGAAAATTTTAAAAAAATGTAATTTTAAAATTCCCATGTTATTCTTATGGAGAATACGTCAACTGTTGTAGTTTGCTTGTTTATGTGCATATTTTGACCAAATTTGGAAAATACATTCATTTCTTACCAAACTACAGTACCCATTAACATTTTACAACAAAAAAACACTTTTTTACCCTCCTTGTTGCAGCAAACCTAAGTAGTTAAACTAATTATATTGAAATAGGGAATAAATGTGATATTTTTAAGGAAACATTTTAGTGTAAATCCAATCAGGCAAATGAAAATTCGCTATGTCTGCAGGATTGCTGCGGTGGGGGTATTTTTATTGTTGTCAAAAGTGGCATTTTGAATTAAGGTAATTCTCTCACGATTTTAAGGTCAAATAATTTCAAATCCATATCATATTTTGTGAATATGTTGGAAATAGAACTTTTCCTTTCCGCAAGTCTGAAACCTTACCCACTAGGAGCAACACACCCTAATTAGCTTAGGTAAGTTAGCTACCAAAATCCATAAATAGGCTACTGTATTAGCAATGGCGGCAAACACTGAATTCTTTCCCGTTTGCCGAGACATCATCTTCATCTCTTAGGATCGTGGTAAAATCATGAACGTCTCTTGTGGTGGCGGTGAAATCATGAACATATTTTGCATTTGTGTAGACTTCTCATTGTCTGCTGCAATCACAACGAAATTGTGATTTTCAATTGCGTAATCTTTGCAGACATTTTCGACAATCGCAAGAATGAAGGCTTGGCTCAAAAATGGAATTCCCTTAATAATTATCGGTGAAGTTTTTTTTTCAAGAGCCGTGTCACCTTTGAAGTACAACCCTGATAAATACCATAGTTGAGAAAAAAAAAAATTTTAAATTGTGTATTTTTCCCTTCACGTCAATATATCATATAAAAGACTGGTCCAGTTATTGTTAGAATTATCATTTGCTGTTAAAAAAATATATTATTAATTTGATTAAGCATTTACGAATGTTGCAGTGGTGCTGTTCTGCCTGGCCGCAGTGATATTCCCCATGGGTTTCCATGTAGATGAGATTGGTGGTCAGCCGTATCAACTGCCCAACAGTCACCAAGTTGGAGTCTCCTACATCCTGTTTGTTTTGTCCCTCTGGATCACAGTTATCTCGGAACTGTTCGCTGGGAAAGTTTGCTTACCTCATTTCTAAGCACTCTGTAAGGTTATGGGATGAACACATTGTAAATATTTACTAAGATCTGTGAACAAGATTAGGGTTAAAGGTGCTGAAGTGGTGTAATATATAAGATACTGGCATTAACCTTATCTTTAGATTTGGATTTTTATTTGTACTTAGTAGGCAATGGATAGCTGATAGGTTACCAATCGAAACAAAAAGCACAACAACATAACAAATCAAAAGGCCTCAAATCCAATTCTGTTTGAGATAAGGCATTAGCTTTTGTATGGTTAGCAAGTGAGCCATCTGTCCTTAATTGGGCGTTTGGTATTTGCTAAAGAAATATCTGATTACACTGGGCTGATGTAGTATTTTAAAGTATCTGAATGCATGTTATGAATGGAGTGAGATCTATTAGTTTGGTAGTATTACTGCCCTAAATTAGCTTTTATTTTAGCTAGGATCATTTAATAAAAGCCCACGGAACAAAGAACAAAACCAAACTAAAATAGTACAAATTTAACCTTGAACCTTCTAAAAGTGTCATACAGTAGTTGTTATCCATATATAATTCTTTTAAACTAAACCTAGAGATGGCCTATGACTGGAGCAGTCTTAGGCTGGTTTTATGCATGGTTAGGCCCCGGGTGCGATACGAGCGGCGAGCGGCATGAGCAGCGCCGCTCTGACATCGGGTCTCATTTAGTTGCGTGTAAATTTGTTGAGGGTGGCCACGATACGTCTGAGCGGCGAGCGGCACCGCTCAGCGCCGCTCATGGTTCCAAGTCAAAACCGATTTTCGCAAAAACTCCGCTCGCCGCTCAGGTGAGTCATGCTTCAGCTCGGCCTAAAATGACAGGGAAACATCAGCAAACGTGCGATACGGGTCGATACGTGGGGTGCAGTCCAGGGAATGTTTGTGGAATGACCAGCACGGAAGTTTTAAAACACTTCAGTCACCAGAAAAGTATGGGAAAAAATTAGGGTTAAGGTTTTTCTAAAAACTAAGTTTTTCTTTAAAGGCAAACAATTGTCAGATAGCAACAAAAGTTGCAATACGTCTTGCAGGTAAGCATAGTTTACCATTTTATACTAAACTAACTCATAAAACTTGGGAAACTTGATGAGCGTTATAAATGTGCCGCTTGTATCGTAGCCACCACCGCCGCTCACGTGCCGCTCAGGTTGCCGCTCGCCGCTTGCCGCTCACCGCTCGCCGCTCGTATCGTACCCGAGGCCTTACAGTGGCTGGACATTTCAAGTTCTGTTGAGTGAAAAGGCATTTATGGCGGCAGGAAAAATGTCACAAATGTAACGTTGCATTCTCTAAACACTGACAGCAGATTTTGGAAACGCCTCTGCCAAAAGTTTAGCTTGTTCCTTAATATTTTGAATCAAACTGGTGTGTTTGTGCACAGCGGCAGTCATATTTTCCATACTCTATGTAGTATTTTCTCCATTTTGTTTTTCACTGTAGTTAATTATGAAATATTGAATGGTTTTTGCTTTTACTAATATTTTAATTTAAAATGTATACAACACGATATAGCACAACCCCCCCCCCCCCCTCCAACACTTGTGAGATTTAGGCACCAAATAAAATGTCCCTGCTCAGTTAGGGGTGTGCGATGCATCGAAATTTCGATTCCATGCATCAAATCACGATTCGATTCAGTGGTGATAAAAAAAACGATTCGATTCATGATGGAGTCACTATGCCTATACGAAAAACACCTGCAGAAAGTCAACACAATACCTGCAATACAGGAGCGCGTTCTTTTTGTGTTTCCTTTGCGAAGGCGTTCTTATTTAACTAATTCTTTGCTTGTCAATATTGCTTTAATTATTTTATCATTTTTTGTTTTGACATTGCAAATGATAAGAAGTTTTGTGAAGCAGTGTAAGAAATACTTTACCACTGTAAACATAGCCAAAACAAGTCACTACAAAATCATTAACACAAGTCTTAAAAATTGTCACTTGATACTTAACTAGTAAGATTGATATTTTAGACTGATAAATTTGGTATTGTTATAGGTCTGAAGCTATGTACACCTTGTTGTTTGTAGGTCTGATTTTATCCTCTCATTGCAATTGAAAGTTGCAGTATAAATCTTGCAAATGTTTTTATTTGTTTACACACCAAAACATATCTTTATTTGTAAAATCATTATTATAAAATAGGTAATATGCTTAACAATATGATTCTGCAAGTAAAAATTATGAAATAGGCAAGTAAAGCAGCTCACTGATATTTCCAGCAATACAGGTTCTTCTAATATGATTATACGATTTTTTAACCTAAAATTCATATGTGTCATATTTATGAAAAGGCCTAATACCACATCAACAAAAATTTGCATTACACAAATGTGGTAAATTTTTATTAGCCTATTGTTATTTCACTCCATTGGCAAGTATGAATAAAAAAATGCCGTGTTGCTTCGAATCGAGTTGCATCAAATTTTTTTGCTGCTTCGCACACCCCTACTCTGTGACTGATTCGGTCAGCCGTCATACAAGCAGTGGCTGCTGATGTGCATAAAACCAGTCTCAGCGAGCTCTATCTATTCAATGCACTTTAGATCCCTACCTTTCTTTGCTCTATGTTTGAAAACAGAATGCCAACAGTCTGTAGCGGTACGTAATACTATTAAAAGCTATTTGTTATGTATTATTTAGTTGTAAAATATGTTATCAGACTTTACGTAGGTACTTGTGTATTTTTATAACTTGAACATGACTAAGACAGTATTATCAGCATTTGTAATTTTACAAGCAATATTATCATTTAATCTATAGATCTGACAAAGCTGTCACTGATGTACTTATCAATGTAAATTGTTTTAATGTTTGTAGAGATATTGTAAATAAAAAACTATTTGAGTAAACAATATTGTTGATCTTTATTTGAAATGTTCCAATAAGTTGTACTGTGATTTGAATTAGATGACAGATTTAATGAATCTCATGAAAAGTAAATACAATGTTTTAAATTAATACCAGCAACCCAATATATCAAAATAGCTGGTTTTTCTAAAATGTCGAGGATTAAAATAAAGAAAATATATTTGGCAATATTTCCTAAGGCACATTCCCAGTCTTGCTGATGAAAATTGAATAAAAACGTATCTGATGCGAATTAAAAGGTAGACTAGAGTTTAGCTTACCTATCTGAAAAATCAAGTACTGTAACCAGTTTAAGTCCAGGGACAAACTGTTTTTTTCACCAATCCTCTCTCTAAATAGGTTGCTATCTGAACTCCATCCCATGACAAATCCTTATGGGGAAGTTTGTTATGAGTAATAAAGAAACACATTAAATTACAAAATACTTTAATTGTAAGGAACAGAAAGAGTTCAAGCAGTCTTTAGCCACTCGGTGAGTGGGGCCAGATGCTTCTCGAGCCAAGCAATGTTCAGTTTGATGGATTCCAAAGTAGCTCTTCTCCCAGCCTCCCCTGCTCCTGCCTCAGGGTGTTGAGCAATGAATTGTTCCACCTGTGAATAGTTAAATGTACTGTCACTAAATCAGGACGATTCTTCAAACACCTTATGTTACTTTCCGTCATCGCAAAAAATGGCCACCAGTTTTACAATCAAGGTGGACATAGTTGAATTGAGCCAACCAGCAGAGATGATATGCTGGGACTGGTCTAAATTACCAATCTCCATCAAATTAGCTAACTCTTTAATTAACCAAGACAAACTGAAAGGACAACTTATTGTAGGCTACAGCTTTTTCTGTGTTACGTCAACCATCAAAGTGACAAAAACTACGGGAGAAATAAAGTACAATTTTAGACTGTTCATTCAACTTTGTTCTTTTTAATAAAAAAATGGCCACAGCTGGTCCATATAGATGTTACTAGTTCAGCATCTAAAAGTAAAAAATGAAACTATTTTATGAGAAAACTCAAGTTATGAATTTCAAATTACCTCCTTCAATTTGATGTCTGATGAAAAGCTTCCAGCCACGTAGGGTAACAGTCTTCCAAAACTTCTGTTGTTGAGGGTAAATCTATCCACTAGGTATTGCCAGTTAGCCCTGTTAAGGTTAATACCAAATTAATCTGAGGAAAACTTAGAGCAAGTATCAACAATATATAAGTAAGGGAGAAATTACACCCCCTTACTTACACCTTAACATACTTAATTACACCTTGGTGAGTAAAGGGTGATATATGAATCTAAAATGGTGAGTATACTTAGAATTTGTTTCCTACTACTGGAACGTCAAATATTAATGTTTTACCTTCTGGCTGTTGTGATTTGCGACTATTTATATGTAGCATTTCCGTACATGAAAGAAATGCAAAGCTGTACAAAATGTACAGGTGTAATTTACTCTTGAATATGCTAAAATGATAAGAGAGGAAGAAGGATTTAACAGAACATAAACGTCATAAACCAATTAAAACGTTGCGATATCTTTTTGCCTGCAACATATCTCTCATTTAGTTTGGTTTGAGATTGAATAACAAATCAAAATCATGAACAACTTGTGTTTGCAGTTAACTCCCAAAAAATTTACAAGCTTAGGATTACCTGACCCAATCCCACAGAAGATTGTTGCCAACTGGGTTTCCAGCAATTGCAGCCATCAAGCCAAAGTAGTCTTGAGATCGGACATAATCTTCATTCTTTGCTCTTTCTATCAGCCTGTAACATAAACAAATAACTGAGTGAGGCTGCAGGAGTCTTTGGGATCATTGGAACTGGGAGATGGAAGGCCAAGGACATACAGAAAGCACAAGGGGGGCTGATTGTGTAACTTAGGGGGATAGCTGAATGAATGGTGAAGAAGGTGGAGGAGGTACCATGGAAGTGAGTCTGAGCGGTACGGCCATAAAGTGATAGTAAAGACTTAGAGAGGAAGAGTTCTGACGATTTTGGTGTCTTTGTGGGGTTTGAGAAGGGAAATGATTAAGACACAACTGTAGGTCTATGGGCAGTAGCAGAGAAGGAGGGCGAACGAGTAAAGTGACTCGATTAGTGTAGCATTGAGGAGTCGTGACCCTCGACCTATGCACCAAATAATCTAGTTAGCAAAGGTAGCATAACCTAAAAACTAGAAGTATAAGCAGGGGACCTCGTGTCTGAACATGTTGCAACACATACATGTCTTAACACGTTCGCTGCGGGTGGGTCAGTACTGACCCACGGCGATCGAATCGCTCATGCTGCCGGGTCAGTACTAACCCACACTGCAGTGAATCAATATGTTGCTCAGTGCTAGCCTAGCGTCAGTCGAAGGTGGACCTAAACCACGTTAGCGTGTAGTGTGTGACTTGCTTTGTTCACCGTTGAGTTGGTTCCCGCGTCTCGCTCCCGCCGTGGCGGCTGGGTCGGTACTGACCCACGATACTGTGAAAGCCCCTCGCTTTGCTACTTTTTTGTGCTTTATGACGTCATATTCAATTTCAATTATTTTTTAAACTATTTTATTTCAATAATATTAACATTTCAAATCTTTTATATCTCTCATTTTTGTTTAATATTTAAATTTTTTATACTCCGGTTCTTTATGGGTCAGCACTGACCCATGTATATGACGTCAAATTATGAAGTCATAATCAATTCCAATCAATTGATATACTATTTTATGTTGGTTATTTTATCATAATGACCACATATATCTTTAGAAAATATATTTTTAGTGACATATATAATGTATTCAGTGACATTTCCATTTTTTCTGACTCTGGCTCCTGATGGGTCAGTACTGACCCATTATTATGACGTCACTTTTTGACGTCATATTCACTTCCGATCGTATTATATAATATTGTATTTCAATAAGGACACAAAAAGGAATGTTATACAACAATAAAGTTTTTTAGCAATACGATTCGATTTTATAATTTCCTTTAGCAGTGAACGTGTTAAGGACATAAACTTGAATTTGGTTAGGCATTTCACAAGGAAAAATAAATTAGTGCTTAATAATCTAATTTATTAAAGTGGGTGATGCATTTTTTTAAATTTTAAACAACCATCGTAGTAAAAAAGAAATTAAAAAAAAATGCATGCAAATATTTGACTGTGAAAATAATATTTAAAACAAAGTATCGGTACATCATGGAATAATGATGCACATTTATAAATAAATCAATTAGATAAAAATTCTATGTTTTTTTTATACAAAAAAATAGTTAAGTAATTTTATTTTTAGGAAATCCACAACTGAATCTTATACCCTACACATTATTTATGCTTTAACATTTACCTATTTATACAAGTAATTTGTGAACCCCCCAAGAAACCAAGACCTGCACCACTACAACACCCGTCATGGCTCCAAATTTGCCCTACCAGTTCACCGAACAACTCTTTGGGGAAAAAACCTTCCTACACCGGCTGCAAACTGAGGAACCATCTACCTGACTACCTGAGAGACCTGACTGGCAACAAGCTACACCAGGAATTGAAGAAGTGGCTAATCGCAAGACACTTCTACACAATAAAGGAATTTTACAAAAATTATGGAAATTAACACATACAATTCACTATTGTATTGACACTATTGTAATTCTAAAGAATGAACAATAAAGAACATTGTATTGTATTGTTTCCAAGGAAACACAGGTTAAACTGAAATTTTAATATTAAAGATGAATAAAGTGTAAGCAGCTTCTCGTCTGGACTATTGACTTTTAAAGGACATAGAGGTAGAAATCATCAGTCCGTGAGTAACCACAATAGTGCCACATTGATTATGTATTTGTGAGAGAACTTAATGAGTCTGGCAGTTGAAAATAGATCTAGAAACGTTAGCTTTTTAACAGAAAGAACAATTATTACTGATGAGAATTGCAATAAAATGTACTAAAGTTATTTTGTATTTAAAGTTAAGTGTAAAGTTAAGTGTGTTGTACTATTATTTGAACAACACTTTAACACACTTAGGTGTCACTTCATACCCAAATAGTTTAAAGTTGTACTGAACTTATCATGTATGAGCACATCTTATTTTTAGATAGTTTGATCTGTTGAGATATTAGCTGTTTTGTTTTTAGAATGTTAGCTGTTGGGTGTAATGGTAGTGAGCTCCGTAGGATTTTGAGATACTTATCCTATTTGGCAACCTACTCATACATCATACGAACAAATTATACATACTTCATCTACAAAACAATACGTTAGACGATACTGACCGAGCAAGAATCCAAGGCTCTTTGATCGTAGCAAGAGACCTGCGTAGTCGTCCCTTCTCTTGAGGATCTGTTTCTGCCAGATATTTGTCCCACATACGGTCCCATTGTTGTTCCCCACTCTCAGCCATACCTAAAAAATATTAATTTTTTTATGTCTCTCTGTCACGCTAAGCTCTAGCTCCGACCATGTTACATACTTCAGGCCAAACTTAGAGGGTTGCAGCATTAATCCCTTAGATAGAACCCTTCTGCGGTTGGCAGGATTTTAACTCGTAATCTCAGGTACTGAAGTCCTGCCTTATACGAACAGACCAGCCCACTTCCCTTTAAACAAAACATTTCCCTACTCAATTCCACTATGCACAGTATTTATGGGAGTAGTATATCGACATTACTGAAAACCATATATTTCAACGAGAGTTGATCAAAATATATTTGGAGCCCTCATTTAGGAGCTAAAGTAAATTTTTCTTACCTCTATACGTGTTTGATTTTAACTAATACATATTGATATTTTGACTGACAATATTTGTGTTTGGATTTTGGAAAGTTCAAAATTTGAAGTAAACAAAGAAAAAAATAATTAAAAGCTTATTGAAAAATCTGATGTTTTTCCAGGATGGCTAGTATCACCCAAACTGGTACTTTTTTACTGCACAGTATATTTGGAATGGAGTACAGATATAGGAGTAATGACTTCCAAGCCATAGCAAAAACTTAGATTAGTCCAAGGTGTGAGATGGCAACAGTTGAAATATTTAAAATGGCCACTTTATTCTAGTACATATGAAAATAGCAAAACATCTCCCCACAGTTCTCATTATAATAAACTCCAGTATAGTTGGCAACTGGTACTGTATCATAAGCTGGACAAAACGTTAGCATCTGATATGTTAGCTCTTTGACTTAGTCGTGTGCAATGTCTAACATTCTGCTGGTTTCTGACAAGCAGTTTGTACTATCTCATTACTATGGTATTACGAAACATGTGTCAGCTATAAATTATTAAAAGGTTGATGTAGGGTGTTTGATCAACAACTTCACTCATCTTGTTAAAAAAAAAACATTATTTTGAAAAGGTAGATCGAAAACCTACCAAAGGAATACACAACATTCCTGATCTCCACATGGGGTTTGGTGCCGTTCTCTAGAAACGTGTTGAACATCTGTTTGACTTTGTCCAAACATGCAGGCACTCCTGCCCTACAGCCTAGTGAAATCATTTTCACTTGTTGAGATCTGAAAAAAAATCAAACCACGATAACATAATACAAACCAACATATTACAAGTTCAACAACAAAAATTGTAATATACTGACATAGGCGGTCCCGTAGGGAAGGCACGGGGGAGAGGGGTTAAGTCCCCCCAACTTTTAGGAATTTCTATTAAAAATACAATATTTTAGCTTATTTTTAGACTGATATGTTGTGCGTCACAGAACACCTATGTATACTGATCAGGATTATAACTTATACAATATTATAAAGTTCCTCCTAAGGAGTGTATTCAATTACAAAATTTACAATAAAACAATACTATTTATATTTTGTAGAATTTTACCTTTGAAGAAAAGTTGCATCAGGAGAGAAATTCCACAGTGAGTCATTGATATGAGGACTGATTAGTTTTCGCAGGTAATGCTGGAAATCAAAAATGTTCGGGTTAGTTATTTGTTTATGTGCTGGCAGCACGCAGCATGTTGCGTTACTTGATCATAAAATATGACTTTTGAGGATATGACTTACTGGACAGTTAAATTATGTCAAAATTTCAATAATTTACAGCTGACATGTTTTGCATCATCAGAGCTCGAGAAACGTCAAAACATCAAAATTTAACATTACTGTACAGTAAACAGACGAAAAATTAATACAATAATAGGTTTTTTACATACCTCAGTCAAATAGTCCAATAAATTATATAACTCAACAGCTTACATGTTTCGTTGCGAAGACAACATATATACAAACAGAGATCTGTGGTAAAGTTATATATAAATAAAAAGTACAATTACAATGTGAATATGTATATGAAATTGCAGTTATAAACAGAAACAAATGTTGTCTTCGCAACGAAACATGTAAGCTGTTGAGCTATATCATTTATTGGACTATTTGATTGAGGTATGTAAAAAACCTATTATTGTCTTTCCAGGGGCCGAAAACATGAATTTTGAAAAATTAATAGCGCTATCAAGTTTTGTGTGTTTAAATGTTGTGTACTGTTTAGTGCAACTTGATGTTTTGACATGTTGCAAGCTTTGATGACGTTGCATTGCGAACGAAACATGTAGGCTTAAAATTAAATGATTAAATTATCATTATCATTATTATCATGAAATTAAATTATGTAAATTTAATGATTGTAAGCCAGAATATAAAAACTCATACACACATAATCCAGGGGCTATCAGAATGAATAAAATACTAGTTTGGTGATTTGAAATGACAGTAGTCGTGAAACTAGTACACTACTCATCCTCACCCTATAGTCAGAGTAGGCAGGAGTGTACAAGAGATGAGCGTCTATGTTCAGCAGATGGTTGGATGCCAGATCCCACACCACAATGTGCGTCTCTTGCGCCAGGAACCCCGTCAGAGCCAACGCCACACTGAAGTCTAACCTCCCACTCTCAGCCAGACTGAAGGCATCCTCGATCAAGTTGGCTCTGTCTGCCGCATCCAGCGCCTGTGGAATTACAAACAGAGATCCGTGGTAAAATTATATATAAATAATAAGTACAATTACAATGTGAATATGTATATGAAAACACAGTTATACACAGAAAAAAACTTGGGTCATTCACCTGTGTTTTAAGTTTCTTCTACAATTTTAAATCTTACAACACAAGACCAACACACAACACAAAGGCAATTCGGGCTCTGCCCTTCAGTTAAATCCATTCCAACCACACTTATTTTAAATCAGTTCATAACTGTAGAGCGAGGGTCCTGCTGACAAAATATTCTTGCAGAATAAATAAGTATATAGATCTACAGTGGTGACATTTCACAAAATCCTTGGGGGGGGGGGGGGACACCGGGGGGTTTGGGGGGTATGGAATTTTGGAAAATTTTGCAGCTCTGAAACAAAAAAAGAGGGGTTTAAGCTTATTTTAGTTGTTGAAAGCACTGCGAATAAAAACTAAATTATTAGTAAAATGGATTTAAATTCAGGGAGAAAATTAATGAAACTAACAATTATCCACAACAGACGGAAACATAATAATATGTTGGTAAGTTAGTCATCTACATCTAAACGTGATCAAGAGTTCCATGATGTATTAATATTATGTTTGTTATTAGATTCATGACCAATTTCTCTTGTAGAAAATTTAGACATGAGCAATGAATACAATTGTATTCATAGCCTGTAGTTTATAACAGTTTATTTTGGTTTTTAAATAAAACACAAGTATTTAAGTACTTAAAAGCATACCAAATGTTATTATCAATAAAATAATTTGACACAAAAGTACAAAAGGTTCTATTTAACTATATTAAACTGGTAGTCTACAATGTTCGAAATAAATTACGTAAGTTGATACACGTGTATAATTTTAATGCTTAAATAATTCATAAAAATAAATGACAAAGCAATGATTCTAAAAAATCTGTATGTTTATGTATATACTATAAATTAGAAGTAAGTGTTTGATAGTACAGAACAGAACAGAAAAAGTAAATGAATAACAAAACTTTACTAATTTATGCAAACTCAAACAAAATGTACTACTGAGACACTAAACAAATAATATTTCTGTTTCAAATTACCGTACAAGAATGGGTAGATTTTTGTCTGCCGTGCTTTTTAGGATTTGACAGTAGAAAATATTTGTATATTAGCTAGTACAGCATATTTTTTTCTTTAGCCCAGGAACCAGGGGGGCAAAAGCCCCCCCTGCCCCCCCCCCAAATGACGCCCCTGTAGATCTACCATTTAACATCCCTTAAAGGTTTGAGTGCCAAAACAATTTGTTAATTTTTTCTTAGTGCTTATATAAAAAAAAATCAAAACTATAAATCCCAACTTTTCTACCGTAATGTTATCCATGAGCAGTTTTGTGAGGGTTGCCCAATCCTCTGTAGGGTAGTTGACTCTGTAGAAGCCCACAAAATGGTAGTTGAGTTTGTACCAGTCCACACCCCTCACGTTGATACTTACTGCAAATAAAACAAAAATCTTATGTAGAATGCTAAATAATCAACAAACTGAATGAAATCCAAATTGACAGAGATTTAACCACAAAAGTTGAGATTGCTTGGATAGTACTTACATGAAGGGTTGTCCATCAAAAGCCAGTTCAATGTTGGTTTGTTGTTAGACGAGGTGAAAATCGTAACAGGGACATCCCATTTGTACCTAAAAAAGAAAGTTGGACTTTAAAAGTGTAAATGTTAGACCTACGTACTGTTAGTGTATTGTTTTACCAATTAGCTATTATAGAAAAGACAATATTAACGTCCAATATCTAATCTTCACATACAGTGGAATCGAGTTAGTAAAGTACATTGCTCCAACCATGGGTTCATTCCACCAAACCTCCCAAATGGGTAGGATATAAAATCAAAGGAGTTATTTCAAGCTTTTATCAATACCATGATAAATCCAAATCATTTTTGGAAGAGAGGTTGGTTCCATCAGTGTATAGGGACTTTTGTAATGGTAGTTTACAGTACCTCAATCAAATTACCTTCTACAACTAGATAAGGAGCTGTGGGGCAAAAAAAAAAAAATCTCAGCATACTTGTTAAGTACAGCCTGTACATAGAAGCTTACTTTGGATAGATAATTTTTTTTGGAGAACTGAAAGTGAAGAAAAAAGGGGTTGCCTCAAGAGTACCACTAATACGCTTTTAGTAATGTCAATCTCAAAAACATGAGCCCTCTAAATTGAAACTACGTCGACATGGAAATGTGATGTTGGTGTGTTTAACTGATGTACTGACTTTAGACCATGTGTATGTGAATTAATGATCACCTGTTATTTTGCATTTGTTTTGTTTGTATTAGTTTTTCTGTTTACATTAAAGTATGAGTTTGATTCCACTGAACTAATTTACTTATTATTTGAAAATAATTTAACATTGGCGACGAGGAAAACTAGGAATGGATGGACAAGAGTTAAATAATCTAAAGAAAGCACGAGCTGTAGTAAAAGGACAGTTGAAGAAGGCAGAAAGATTCCAGTCTCAAGGTAGTCTTACATTAAATGAGGTGAGTGTTAAACTCAAAGCAATTGCTGACCAGTGGGAACGTTACAAAAGTATTCAGGACCGAATTAATACATTAACCGATGAAGAAAACTTGCACCATGAAATAGAATGTAGATGTAATGTCGAGGATAAGTATTTAAATCTTACAACAAAACTTTAAGAGTTGATTGAGAATGAATGTCCCAACACTAGGTCTACACCACTTCACCCAATTAGCAATCCATCTGAGGCGACACATAGTTCAATTACCAGGTCCTCATTGTCGGGTAGTATAAGTTTTACACCTTTTCACCCAGAGGAAACGGTTACAAATTTCATAAAGAGACTTGAAATATTCTTACACATTAAAAATCTAAGTACAGATGGTAATGCTAAAGTTTACATGCTACTACACGCTCTTACACCCCAGTTACACCAACAACTTTATGATTTATGTGCACCTGAAAACCCACTTACACAAGACTACAGTGAGTTACTTCAGATACTAAAGGATTTTGTAGAACCACAGCCAAGTCAATGGGCTTTACAACACAAGTTTATTTCGTGTACTCAACAAGAACATGAATCCATAAATGAATTCTCAATAGCACTTAAGAAATTAACCAGCAACTGTGAATTTAATGTAATTGTGGAAAGTCGGTTGCAGAGATGTTTCTTAAACTTCAGTTTATTCGTGGTTTGAATGACATAGATATTCGAGCCAAACTTCTTCAAGGACCAGAGAAACGCACGTACAAATACATTGTTAACGAAGCGTCGGCAATGGAACTAGCTAAATCTGAGAGCAAAACTGTATGTCCCAAAACAATGGAACACCTTGATTTGAACAGGTTGGATTCCAATAGTAGTGATAGGAACAAGCCAAAGAAAATGTTGTATTGACAAACATTTCAAGAAACCGGCACGAGACCCAACACAAAGTGTAACAATCTAAAAGGGACATGTTACAGATGCGGTTCACCTTCTCATCGAGCTAACAAATGTAAATTTATAGATGCTGAATGCAGAAAATGTACTAAAAAAAATTGGACACATAGCTAGTGTATGCTTACAGAAAAAGAACCAGACTAACAGAAATTTGAAGCAATACCAGACTCAAGATGGCTCGGAGAAAGGCAGTGAGTATGAACATGAAATTAATGTACTGTCAAATCAGAACTAGCAAGTGATCGTGTCCTTGTACATTATAATCCTGATTTGCCTCTGGTAATAGCAACGGATGCCTCTCCGGTGGGTCTTGGTGCTATTCTTTCACATCGTTACAGTGATGGAAGTGAGAGACCGATAAGTTTTGCCTCACGCAGATTGACAAAATGTGAACAGCACTACAGCCAAATTGACAAGGAAGCCACTGGCATCTACTGGGGGCCTAAGAAGTTTTTCCCGTACTGTTATGGACGAAAATTTACTCTGATTACTGACCACAAGCCACTCGTGTCCATATTCAGCCCCACAAAAACATTACCATCAATATCTGCTACTAGATTATTTAATTATGCACACTTTTTATCTGGATTCGACTACAAAATTGAATACAGAAGAACATTGGATCATGCTAACGTAGATTTTTTATCTCGGTTCCCAACTGACCATGCTTCAACTAAAGGCAGGGACAACTGTGACCTTTTTCAACTTAGTCAACTCGATTCTTTTCAAATTAGTAGTTCCACAATTTCTAAGTCAACAGCCCACGACAATGACTTTCAACCAATAGCCTACTATATGCACTTGAAAAAAGTGAATCAGTGGAAGCTTTTGGGTACCATGACAATGAATTAACACTTCAAGACGGATGTATATTCAAAGGATGTCGTGTTCTAATACCACAATCCCTTCGTCGGAAGGTTCTTGACGAACTTCATATTGGGCAATTAGGCATGGAGAAAATGAAATCCCTTGCCAGAAGCTATTGTGCATGGAAGAATATTGACCAAGATATAGAACAATTGGCATAATCGTGCAAACAATGTTGTTTGAAACAAAATGAACCAAGAAAGGAACAAAATCATCCATGGTTAGCTCCCCAGGGACCATGGGAAAGGTTGAAAGGTTGCATATAGACTTTGCTGGTCCAATGCAAGGACATTGGTACTTTATTATTGTGGACGCCTTTACTAAGTAGATTGAGGTTATACCTACTAAGAATACTTCTACAGAATTTTGCACAAGAGAACTTAGAAAATTATTTGCTACATTTGGTCTTCCCATGATTTTGGTTTCTGACAATGGAAGTCAATTTACCTCTAGCGTCTTTGAACAGTTCCTATCAGAAAACGGAGTGGTACACAAAACAACTGCTCCTTACCACCCTTCGTCACCTCTAAATTGAAACTACGTCGACCTGGAAATGTGATGTACATTGTGTTCTTGATTCGTAGTTCATACATTAGTTGCCATCTTTATAAATCTTTAAAGTAACATACATTAAATTTTGTTGGAAATTTCAAAACCAGATTTGATAAGTTACTAATAACTATGTCACAGCTAAACAAGAAACTAACTTGAATTTTGATTCGTTGGGATCAAATGTAGCGTTCTTGTCGGCAGTGTACCGTTGTTGCGTAACCGTGACAGTGTCTCCTTTTCTGGTTACGGTCAGTAAGGGATAACCCATCTGTCGAGTCCAACTGTCCATCACCTAGCAAAAACATTTAGAACAATTAGAATAACAAATAAGAAAGCATACTGTAACCAAACTAAAATATGTCGGATAAAAAAAGACTCTTTACCCTCTAGTGATCAAATATACTATTAAGTTCAAGTTCAAATAAAAAGACAACATTTTTTCTCACATGTGGAACATTGACACCGTTGGAGAACTGCTGCAGATGTTGCCACAGGTCGTTGGTGTCTGCGTTTTTGTACTGGAAGTTCTTCAGATAGGACACGACTCCTTGTCTGAAGTTTTCTGGACCCATGAACCCTTCCAGCATCCTGATCACTGATGCTCCCTGCAATCATTCCAAGGGTAATTTGCATTTCTGCACTTTTCAATTATTTTTTTGTGTTTGAGCTAGTAAATTTATTCTTTAATAGTCACAAACTCTTTTAATAGTTCACAGTCTAAATGCTTCCATATTAGTGGATGTGCTGCGGATTGGTCCTGTCTCTCTTGCATTAAAATATCTGAGGCGCAATTGGATTTGCTACAATATTTGTTACTAAATGTTGGACTCATACAACTAATTAATTAAATCGTCGTGTGTTGGAATCGTACACCTAATTAATTAAATTGTCGTGGATGAGGTTCAAGTCAAATCCCCTAGAAAATGGTTTTTACAACGTTATGGAACCAACTAAACCCATTTCAAGCTTTACAAAACATTCAACAGGTTATCCTTCACTAAAACATGCGGTACGTTATCCTTCACTAAAACGGACAAAGTGATAAATCCATATAAATACCAAACACCTCCCTGCATCAAAACTACCTTAAGAACTTTGTATAACATTTTGTTAATTTTCTACTGCTAGATTATGCGTTGTTAGATAATACATTTGTTTACCTTAGCATAAGAGATCCGATCGAATATCTCAGTAATCTGGTCAGGATGAGAGACGTGTTTGATTATTGGATGAGAGCTGAGAGTTGCGTCCAGGCTTAGAGCATCACTCAGATCGTGGACAAGAAAATACGTGTCCTAAAACAAAAAAGAATAAACAAAAATACTTAACTGAAAATTTTAAATATTTTTTCAAAGATATAAAAGAAGTTAGAAGTGCAGTGATAAAATGTGTCGTAAAACGTTAACATTGATTTACAGTCAAAAGATCTGGCCGTAAAGCCAGGGTCTTGAAACCTTTTCCTTTACTTGCAATTAGTTCATTATTACAACTACTAAACAACTTGTCTATTGGTTATTGTTATGAGAATTTAACAAATAATAATTGTTACAATAGTAAGAACACAAAAAGACAATATTCTTACAATATCCCACTCTGGATGGTTGTGGTGCGTTCCTTTGAATTCTATGAAGGTGGCGAACCCTTCGTTCAACCAGAGGTCATCCCACCACTTCATGGTGACTGAAAATCAAAATCAAACTAATAACAGCTACGCCTAAAGAGACATTCTACAGTAAATGTTTTAATGAGATCCAAAATCCTTGAATTCATAGTAAGATGAGATAAGTTTTACAACTGATTTTGAGAAAATGAAAATATATAAAGTGAAATTTCTGAAACATGATAGTTTAAGAAGACCTCGAGGGGATATAAAGAGATTGAATAATATTGTTAAACTTAATCCTAGTAAGAAAAAACTTAAGTTAGGTATTGAAATACAAAAATAACTTGGGGGAAATAAAACTTCCTGAAGGTTTAGTTCTGAAGAAGGAAACGATTAATACTATAATTTTTGTGCGTAACTGTCTATACCAGCAGTTGGTAGCAGGAACCATTTTGGTGGGTCGCGGGAAGAGCCCAAACATATAAATTTGTTTATTTCGGGTATGGCTGTGGATAGGCCTAATTAAGTTTTCAAAATATTCACTGGTTAAAGTAGGCCTAATTGACTTCATTTTAGTTTAAAACTAGGAATCTTATTTACTAAAACGTGGCAGGGTTTTTTTATTTCACGATTCTGAATCAACCACTTGACGGATTTTCATCATTTCTGTGTTGAAAGAAAGATTATTTTTAGAACTAGGGAATGTCGAAGACATAATTTTAGTTTAGGGTTCCAGCTTTTTTTTGGAAATTAAGTTTTAATTTTTAAAAAGTCTAGCAGGACTAACCGACCTTTGCACTCTTCCAGCCATGGTCCCAGCCTCGTAGGTGACAGATCAGCGGGGTTGCACTGTACTCAGAATTGGGCCTACAAACTTTTGATTGTTCAATAACCAATCAGCAACCCATCTACAATCATAAGTGATAAGTTCAAAGACCCCAAACATTCAGTGACATTACCTAGATCTCCGAACCACATGTGTGCCAGCTCGTGTGTGGTTGTTAGAGCCACTTGGACCTGATTGCCGCTGGAGCTGAAGTCAGGATCATATAACACCGATGTCTCCCTGAAAGTTATCAAACCCCAGTTCTCCATGGCTCCGGACACAAAATCAGGAATTGCTATCAAATCTGCAATAATTAAATAGGAATTAAATTTAGTACATTTAGAAACCGTATAAGACAATGTTTTAAATTATAAACTTTATTAATTTACTCATTCTCTCTCAAAAAATTCAGACCCTGGAGAAATACCCAATGATATTTTCATCGCACCCAATGTCTTAACAACAACTCTAAGAATCACCGAAATACCCAAGTATAACTTATTACAGTAACTCCATTATCTGATCTTTGGTGATCTGAACTCCCCTGCTATATGATTATTGCAGACAATCGAGTATTGTGCAACTTCCATCTCAAGAACTGTACACTGTAGCAGAAGTCAAAATAACCACTTTTGCCGCCCCTGTATCTGCTCTAAACACCCGTACTTTCTGATTTAGTGTGGTATACCACAATTTTATCTCCTCCTCAAACCTAAATCCCCCCTCTGTCTTAGTCAAATAGGACTTTGGCTGAGTGACCTAAATAACTGGCAACAACTTGAACATGAAGATAGAATGCCTAGTTTAGTTATATCAATAGTCAAAGGTTGTACCAATAATATTTAATTATTTAGAAATTCACTATCATTCTGAAATTTTACTCATTAACCATAATTGTTTATGTTGATTTTCTTACATTAGTACAAGCTTAAATTACTTTCATCTATTTGGATAGTTTATACAATTTTTGCCATTCTCCTACCTAATTTAGGTAGTGGATAGTCAATGCCAAAATAATCTATATAAAAGTCTATGGTAGAGGCGGCAATTTTCTGAGCATAGTCCATTTTCTGTATTTGTCCACTTCTTGCGTATACATTGACATCGAGCCCTCGTTTGGTTTTGATGGTGGGGAGATGTTCAAAGTCACACACGATGAAACACGCAAGGTAGGTTGACATGGGGACTGACGTGTCAAACTTGACAGTTGTTAATCCTGGACCTGGCGACTCCGGCACTTCTTCCTAAAACAATGAACCACAACATCTGAGAAGAATGCTTAACATATTTTTTAACCTCTTTAAGAGACACCTGGCTGATTTCACATTAATTCTTTAAATGTGTTGGTAAAAGTAAATCTGCTTTACACTGGTATTTTTTGAAGAAAATGTACAGATACTAGATTGTGGACCAATAAGTGATGGAAAAGTATGGGGAGTTAGGGGGGAAATGGAGCAATAAACAATACAGGTCAAACAATATTGTGAGAATTATAAATGCTCAATAAGATGATCAGTTTATGTGGAGAGAATGAATTTTTAAAGGTATAGACTCAAGGAAAAGAGGAAAGCTAAGAAGAAGAAGATACCACCAACAGGATGTAGTGGAAGACCTGTTCAAAAATAAATGAGTGAATAAATATTGAGTAAAAAGCTAATGATGAAAATGGTTCAAGATGTATTGTTAATGAGGTCAAGGTTCACATCACTCAGTTACTGCAAGGATAGTAAAGGATATAATTCAGAATTGAAGAATTTTCATAATCTAAAGATTTTGGAAGAGAGTTTAGTCGTGCCATTGTAAACGCACATTAAAGATACCTTTGAATTCCTGTGAAGAAAATTGCAAATCCAAAATCCAGACATAGCAAAGAGAATCATTTTTAATTGCAATTTTTTTTTACCATTGCCAATTGCAATTGAAGAAGCTACATATAATTTATCGTTATGACATCAAATTGTGACAGTTGGTAGCGTATGTCATAACCATGCTAGTCTACTCTTTTGGGTCGAAGTGTGAGTCGGATTTAACATATTTTACAAAAGACTTATTTAAGAACAGGAGCAACAATCTGATTAATTTTCCACACATACCACTTGGTTCATGTTCGATAGAGCGATGTAGTTGCCTTTGGATGGACGAACAATGCTAACATTGAATTTAGCTTTGAAGGCAGGCTCATCGAAACAGGGAAATGCTCTACGAGCATAAGTCGGCTCAAACTTGGTTGTTGCTATGTGTCTATAAAAAATAAAAATACCTACATTATTTGAGTTTTATAATTTTTAACTAGCCTATAGAAATAACTAACTACAAACTTAGTACAAGGAAAATAAAAGCATAACATTTTATTTGTGATTTAATTTAAAACTTTTTACTTATCTTGCAAACATTTCACCTGACAATCTAAGTGATACAAACCTAGTTTCACCATTTTCACTTTTATAAGAACTTCGGTAGAACCCAACAATATCATTTGTAAGCGAACCACTGAAATCCAGGATCAAACGATAAGTACCAGGGTTGATTTTAGTTTTCAGCTGCACAATCCAGAATTCATTTTTTGGATAGTCGAAGGCATGTTTAATGGAATTCAAGGATCCATTTTCAGATTTCAGTTTAGAATTAGTTATTGTCAACCCTTTGTGGTGTATTGAAATGTAATCACATGGTGCCGTAATGTTTAAAGTAACATCAACAATGCCACTGAATGTTCCTTTTTCTAAGTTAGGGTGCAGGAACAAATTATACAGTTCCGGAACAACATTTTCAGACAGTTTGAAATCATGTTCCCAAAGGTTGCCCTGAAAAAGAACAAAATGTAAATATTTCTCCAAAGCTTTAGCCTATATAAGTTGTCAACATCAACATAGGCCTACACTACTAACAGTAACGTAATGTTTTGTTTTTAAGTATACTTTAAAAATAAATGGAATGTATCATTCATTCAACTTTAATTAACTAGATCTTTGTTCTTTTTATGCCTCTGTGCCATTTGTGAAATTCTCAATAAGTAGGCCTATTTACATGGATAAAACATCTAGTCCCTTAGTAGATTTCCCATCCTTATGAAACAGCTGAAGCCAATTTTATTGTTAGTTCTGTCCGGTTATCTGTAGATGTCGTGTTTTGTTTACAATTTGTTTCTATTAGCCTATTTTAGTTTCTCATTATTTGTGTCTCACTGTTTGGTTATATAGCTAGTGGACGAGTTATTGTTTATGATTAGAGAGTTTTATTTGGTTAAATGAGGTTTTAAATTACTGAAATAACAAGTAACAAAAACACGAAATCTACAGAAAACCGGACAGAACTAATAATAAAATTGGTTTCAGCTGTTCCATAAGGATGGGAAATCTATAAACACAACATTATACTGTGGGGTCAATCCATTTCAAATCATCCAGCAAAAAAAGAAAATGACACCCACGTTCTCAGATTCTAATGATTTTTTTGTCAAGTGTTCCTTTTGCTATTCTAATTATGAATACCAAATTTCATTTTGATATCTTGAATACTTTTTTAGTTATGAATTTTCAAAAATTGCTAAAAATAAGCGTTTTCCCGTTCCCGCCGATTATTTGGAGTACGAAATCGTTTTAGTAAAAAAATTATTACTCAGTCAGTATTTATCATATCACTATGGGACTTTCACTAAAATGTTCAGAAAATCTTGTAGAATTAAGGAAAATTATGTTTATGGGGGTGGTCATTTTATGTTCCATCCAGTAATCCATCCAACTTTAATTTTGGTCTACTCTTTAGCAAAAAAACACAAAATTTTGAAAAATTTGTGAAAATTTTAGGCACTATGTAAACCAAAGGTGTTTTATCATATTTATGTTCCTAAGGACATATACTAACAGGTTATTAAAGAAAAACACTGGGATTTTCACTGCTTTTTAATTTATAACTCATTAAACAGAAAAATATAATTTTCATAAAAAAGGCAGAGTGCGGACAGTTAAACCTGTACTAAGAATCAATAGCTACTTCAGAAAGTGTTATTAAAAAAATTATCAAGACCCATTTATAATAAAGTAGAATTATAATTTTGAAAGGCAATAAAACTGAAGTTTAAAAGCACTGACCCAAATTGGTAGGCCTACAATGTCAAGCTAAGTACAAAAAAACGCTTGAAAAAATATGTACAGTATTAAGAAAATATGAAAACTTCTTACCACTAATCCTTAATGAATACAATTTTTGGAGATTCTCAATCTGCTTTTTACATGAAGCACTTAATTTTGTACTTGGTTTTTTGTCAACATGTTTTGGCACTGTTTTTCAATTAAATCCATTTCTTTTTTCGGGAAATAATACATTTAGTCAGGTTGGGTAGCAGGAAAATATTTCAGTTCTGGCAGAGAGGCTGCAATTTTAGGTGGTTATAGTATACAAGTTTCTGAACCTAAAACCGCCCAGACCCCAATTTTTAAGGACCTCGGTCGTCCGTAATGACGTCATCAAAATGGCGGCCGTAAGAGGATGCTGGGTCCCTATGAATTGGCTATAACGACCGAATGCCTTAATCGATTTTCATGAAATTTGGCACACAAGTGCTTGAATACATTATCTCGGCCTGGGTTGAAAATGGTAAAGTTTCATCAAGTCATTTCAAAATGGCGGCTGTTCAAAACTAAAAAAATTATGAGGAAAATAACTGTGAATTGTTTTATACAGGGTGAGTTTTAAATGAGATCCCCCCCCCCTACTTTTTTATACATTTCTTAAGATATCAACTCCGAACCATGTCAGATCATTGTAGATTAGCAAGTGCTTCATTTTGACTGGGTTTAAATTTTTGGCCGCCACCTTGGATCCGCCATATTGGATACGAAGTTATTTTTTCAAATGTAAAGGTAGGGTTGTGACCCACCGTTTCAAACAAGACTTTTACGATGAATACGATGCTGCAATTCATTAAAAAAAATGTTGATCCATCCTTTTTATAAATTTATTTTTAGTCCATTATAACATTGTGCATTTACAAACTAAGGTCATAATCTCAAAATAGTGCTAGATAAAGATAAGTGGACACCACCATTCATTGTTGACCTATTTTCACTCGGTTATGACGGATGTATTTTTTTCAGCCGCCATCTTGGATCCGCCATTTTGAAATGTGATCAATTATTTTATAAGTTTTTTGTTATCAAGCTTTCTTGATAAAATATTACAACTATTTTGATTTAAAATGTCAATATTTCAAAAACCAAATATGACAATGAAAAACGGATTGCGGCATTGAATTCAGCAAAAAAAAGTCGTTTAAAATGATGGGTCACAACACCACCTTCATATTTAAAATAATTACTTTAAAATAATAATAAGGTCTGGGCGGTTTTAGATTCAGAAACTTGTATACTATAACCACCTAAATTTGCAGCCTCTCTGCCAGAACTGAAATATTTTCCTGCTACCCAACCTAACTAAACGTATTATTTCCCGAAAAAAGAAATGGATTTAATTGAAAAACAGTGACAAAACATGTTGACAAAAAACCAAGTACAAAATTAAGTGCTTCGTGTAAAAAGCAGATTGAGTATATCCAAAAATTGTATTCATTAAGGATTAGTGGTAAGAAGTTTTCATATTTTCATAATACTGTACATATTTTTCAAGCGTCTTTTTTGTACTAAGCTTGACATTGTAGGCCTACCAATTTGGGTCAGTGCTTTTAAACTTCAGTTTTATTGCCTTTCAAAATTATAATTCTACTTTATTATAAATGGGTCTTGATAAATTTTTTAATAACACTTTCTGAAGTAGCTATTGATTCTTAGTACAGGTTTAACTGTCCGCACTCTGCCTTTTTTATGAAAATTTTATTTTTCTGTTTATTGAGGTACAAACTAAAAGGCAGTGAAAATCCCAGTGTTTTTCTTTAAGAACCTGTTAGTATATGTCCTTAGGAATATAAATATGATAAAATACCTTTGGTTTACATAGTGCCTATAATTTTCATCAATTTTTCAAAATTTCGTGTTTTTTGCTAAAGATTAGACCAAAATTAAAGTTGGATGGATTACTGACTGGAACATAAAATGACCACCCCCATAAACATAATTTTCCTTAATTCTAAAAGATTTTCTGAACATTTTAGTGAAAGTCCCATTGTGATATGATAAATACTGACTGAGTAATAATTTTTTTACTAAAACAATTTCGTACTCCCAATAATCGGCGGAAACGGGAAAACGCTTATTTTTAGCAATTTTTGAAAATTCATAACTAAAAAAGTATTCAAGATATCAAAATGAAATTTGGTATTCATAATTAGAATAGCAAAAGGAACACATGAAAAAAAAATCATTAGAATCTGAGAACATGGGTGTCATGCCCTGGATGACTTGATATGGATTGACCCTGTGATAATTTTTTATAATTATCACAGTAATAAATTATAATAATAATTATTTAATTATAAAATTAAACTATCATAACCTAACCAAACCAACCAAACTTGCTGATAATGAAAAAATCGAATCAAAAACTTAATGCCTCCGGTGATTTTCGAACCGGCTACCTTCGATTTATCAGACCGGTGCGCTATCCACTACACCATCGGGACCGATGGCTGTACAACGTATCATTGCGGTAATGTTGTTTGCTCGAGCAGTGGTGGGTGGTGGTGGTAGGTGGTGGTGGTAGGTGGCGGTCTGTCAGGAAGGGTTTCTTATTTTTGTAGTCCATATAACCATAGGGAGTATGTTTAATCTATGATATAACTCTGTGTGAATTATTCCTGGGTAAGTTACAGTTCTGCAGAGAATCAGTGATCTTAGCTTATCATTGAATGATATATTAGTTATACCTATATTTATATCGTATCAAATAGACATTTTTTACTAAATACAAATAAGTTATCGATCAAATGTTTTTTACTTAGGTTAGTATACTTTAACTAAGTTAGGTACCTTAGCCATAGACTAAGCAACACAAGGGAGTAGGCCTATGATTTATCTATGCCTTAGCTTAGTTCAATTTTGTTTAAGTTTAACATACTTTATGGTAGGGCCTAATAAGGAAATAAGGTGGTACTGTATTTATAAAAATTAAAGTTGATATTTGGTGTAGCCTAGTTCGTTTAAGAGATAAAGTTAAGTTAGGCATACAAGAGTTCCACAAACTACTAAACTGAACCAAACTAACTTAGGCTAAGTTAGGCCTAATCACCGCAGCCCACTGTAAAAGAGTGGCGAACAACACCTACTCCTTCCATTAAAGAAAATCAAGTTTTACATTCAATAATTATAGCCTAGGCCTAACTTAACCGATTGAATTATTTTTATCTGTGTAAAATATGGACACAGAGGATACACCTCCGGTAACCGGACGTGGATTAGGCGTCCAGGAGTGACATCACCAGGTTGTGGGGGCCCGGAACGCCATTACCACAACGATATAATGTACAGCCGTTGGTGTTTGTGGTGTAGGCCTAGTACCTTAGATAGAGTGCTCGGCTGATATGCAAGAGGTCCCTGGTTCAAATCCTATTGGTCACTTTAACTTTTTATCAAAGAATTTGCTTTGAATGCCAATTCTTCTTAACTGTACATCTTTTGTTAGAATTTTTTGCATTTATAATTTTATTTTATGAAAAGAATTTAACCTTTGTTGGATTTTTTTACTATCAGCAAGTTTGGTTGGTTAGGTTATGTTATGAAAGTAACTGCTGGATGCCTAATCCACGTCCGGTTACCGGACACGTACCGGTATCCTCTGTGTAATATGAAACTAATATTTCATGTGAAAATATATTGTACGATCTCAGTGGAACTGTAGGCCTACCCAATTAGTCTTAATAGGTTACAAGCCACATCAATGATACTATTTTAAATCTGTTTATACTTTAAGAGTTAACTTACTTAGGCTAGGCCTCTTAAGTTATGACTATCAATCTTTTACGGTATAGATAAGTAAGTGCAAAATATACTTCTGTGGAATAGGAAATTGTATTTTTGACTAGAACGGTATGCCACTTGCATAAGTATGCATAATGCCTGAAAGAAAATACTTGGGGTAAAAGAATAATGGATAACCTACTTCTACTTGGTGACTCAACACTATATAAACATAACCTAGTCCTAGTCTACAACATAAGCCCACTGTAAAAGTAATTAATTATACCTTCATTGTTTAACTTAAACGATTATCCAATAAAAATGAAACTTAAAACTCTTGAAATATTCCTGAGTGTTGTTGACACTTTTATCATTCAGCAGCAGTAGGTATTCAAATAAATTAGCAAAATCACAAGACCAGACCAAAACCAAAACAAAACAATGAATGAAAATGAATGAAACATAACTAACATAACATAAACATAACAAAACAAGTCTGGTGTTTCCGACCGGCAAAAAGATCAGCTGACACTGCCGTAATTGAAACGACACATGGAGGATTTCAAAATCAGCCATGCATTAATCCATTGATTATAGACAATTGAACAACACTACGGTATACTAGGTATACGATGCAGTTGTCTGCTTGCAATATTGAGCAAAGCTATCATATATTACTGCAATTCAATGTGAATGATATATTTGGTTCGCATAAATAGAATGCATATTTTGCAGTATCCAAAGTCCAAATTCAATTAAAAGAAAAGTCTTGTTCACGGAATGAACTGTCTACTTGCAGGAACCAAATTCTATGTTTCATTTAATTTGCAGTTCCCAATGCCGATGAAATATTTGGTTCGCTTTAATGGAATGTCCATTTGCAGTATCCAAAATAAATGGTTCGCCTGGTTCACTTAAACGGAATGTCTATTTACATATTCTAAAGTCAACGGTACGTCTGGTTCACGTTAACAGATTGTTTACTTGCAGTATCCAAACTTAATGGTACATTTTGGTTTATGAAAATGAATTGTCTACTTGCAGTATCTTAAATCAATGGTCCATTTATTTGGTTTACATAAATAAAATGCCTATTTGCAATATCCAGAGTCAATAGAAGGCTTACTTCTGGTTCACTTAAATAGGGGAATAAACCATAGTGGGCTCAGCTGTCTGGTTGTGGCTTTATGACAATATAACAATCCCCTATTTCCCGCCTAGCTCCGGTGTAATCATTTATAAGTTCAATCTCGTTCTATAGTCTGAGGTACAACCATTGTACAATGTAATACCTTTGACTATTAATACAACTTTAGTATCCAAATAGTCAATAGTAATACGTAGGTACTATATCCCTTTTAGTACAAATAAAAAATGCTGGTGGCAAACGTCTCGCAGGATTGATCGATTAGAAAGCATATTTTTTGAAAAATATTGTTGAACTGCATGTGGATCGCCGGTAAAGTGTTAAACGTACCACTAAGATAATATAATTCGATATAAATAAGATACAACTAAAGACGCAATGCAGTTGTCTCTTGCAATATTAAGCGGAGCTAGCATATTAGTCCAAAGTATATATTTCCAAAGTCAATGCTACATCTGGTTCACATAAAAAGAGAAATCTACTTGCAGTGTCCAAAGTCAAAGGTTTTGATGGACATTAAATAATGGAATGTTTATACTTACGATATCCATAAAGTCAATGGTGCATTAGCCAGCCTAATTCCGGCGACCCTAATTGGTTGTTCATTTTGTAGCAAATTATGTTCCACGATGTTAATCCGATTGTTCTTATCTTTTATCTGTATTTGTAGCAATGTGCTAGCTTTGTTTAGACAATAGCGCAATCTTTGACTGGCTCACACAACTACGATCTTTTTTAATAAAAAATTGGCTACAGATGGTCCATATAGATGGGATGTCTACTTCAGTATCCAATAGTCAATGGTGCTATAGTTTAGATGATTGTTGACTAAAATAGTAATATACCTAATTTTATTATGTTTCGAATATTTTGTTTACCTCTTTATCAGCAAATAATAATGTCATGACGGCCAATTACAGTTAACTATATCATTTGTAATGTCTTAATTAACTTACAAGAGTTTCTTGCTATACGTATTATTGATCAAGTTAAACTAAGTAAACTAAGGCTATAGATAGCATAGTACCTCAACGTCTTCATTTCTACCATAAAGATGTTAATATTTACAACTAGCCTTTATGTTTCTCCCATGCTATTTCCAAATGGTTTTAACCAATAATGCTATATCCATCGTGGACAATGACTACCACACAAAAATATTTTTTAACTGACAGCTACCTGAAAATGCCTCTCAGGCGTAAACAAATGTGATTCCTAACATTGTCTATTCTTTAAACGGGATTCATTATGGACCTGTTATATTGTAGTGTATGGGTAATTAAAATTTAGTTAGATTGAGAAACACAACGCGACATCTATATGCTATTGTGTAGCTAGTGTGCGAAGTGGCACTTTGCGCTCGTGTTACACATTATATTTTTCCTACAGTTACTATAAAGCCTTTCAAACACTAAACGCGTTGAGCGTTGAACAAAATGGGAAACACTGCAACAGCTGATCGTAGTCGCAGTATCTTTGTGTTTTCAACTTATTTTCAAGCATACACGTACAAGTGCCTATAATAAAAGCACATTTTTTTGTTTCAATACTGGAGTTGTAGCAAAAAACATGAGTGCGGCAAAAAGTAAAATGACAGTGCGCTAAAAGTAAGTAAATGCAGCCATTAGTTACTTAGCGTGCTATCAGTACAAGAAAGCCCGCTTTGTCAGAGGTAACTGTAGGAAAAATAAATTCGATGATTCTAACTAGTGTATATTACAACGTTTACTTACATCAGTTGCTTGTGTTGTTTCGGTGAATTTCCCAAATGATATTAGTAATATGACTATTGAAAATAGAGATATTAAACATCGCATTTTGACTCTTGTTGAATTTCTGACGTAAATCTGAAAATTGACACATTTCTTTTGAAAATTCCATTAAGGTTTCATTTATAATTATCGTAACTGGCTTGGCCTTAAAATACCTACATTCGTATGGTCTCCATTTCATAAGAAATAAAGTATTAAGGTGGCATTTTCATTTTTATGTTTGTAACTAATAAATGTGACTAGTGATATTATGGGTTTAAACATTTTACAAACGTTTATGAAATAATTCGCCACCACAATTAAAATTCCGCATAAATATTAAAAATAAAATTTAACTAAGCATCATGAAAAATACTGGGGTATATATTTAATTAACGTCTTTTCGCTTTAGAACAGAAAGAAGAACATTAACCAGTTGCTAAGATCCGTGAAAATAATTTAACAGTTAACGAGTACAGTTGAGAACTTTTTAAAAAAGAAAACTCATAAATAAAGTTGTGTTTTACTAAAAATAATTATCTTCTATATTATATTGTTTTGCTCAATTTAAGCGCAAATATTATATGCCTATATTGATTCACGAAAATTGAAACCACGTGGTACTAAGTCGTTAATGTTATTTTGAGGAAGAGTTTTTGGTAATTCAAATTAAGTTTTACTGTTTAAGATTCAGTCCTATTTCCATTTCTTGTTTCAAAATTTGTTTTTCATTCACAGGTTAAGTTCAATCTTAATCTTTCCCTAAGGTACTGACAAAACTATAACAAAAGTGAAATATTTATGTCCAGTGGTCAAAACTACTATCACACAAAGTCATGCAAAAGTTATTTGAGATTATGTAGAATATAAATTCTTACCTGAGAAAAGCTAAGATCTGATGAGGTTAAAAGGTTTCATTTGCAGGATGACAACAAAACTTAACAACACTGTTCTCACCAAGATCAGCTGACGCAATAGAGTCTCGGAAAGGTCAGTTGTGACTACACTTTCACCGAGACTCAAGGTCATCGGCGATATCTCTCCAGCTGTTATCGGACCGCTATCAGCTGTTTAAAATCGATTTCTTAATCCACCTTGACTGATACGCGTTACTGATCAGTTTAGCACATACTGTTAAAGATCACTGCTGAGTTTTAATGAGATAGATAGTCGCGGTTTTACACTTTACTGAAACAATATAATTTTTTTCCGTTTGTCGGCTAAATAATGTATGAGTTCTTTTACCAATTTTCTTAGCTGTTGGATAAATAATACAACTTGGTCCATTAACTAAACTAAACATATTTTCTTTTAAATCAATATACAAATAATGGGAACTCAATAAGGCGATCGAAAAAATTAAATCTTTATAATAGGACTTTTTAGACCCCGACAATTAATTATTTAAGATTGGATCACTGTTGGAACATCGTTTACGATTTATGAATATAAATCACAAAAGCATTAAATGTCATGTATTTTGTGACATTTTTAGCATTTGATGCAATTTTAAGATTTATTCTTAGAATTTTCTCGTGGAATTTAGGAGCTACAGGATGCACGTAACAGCATGCCACTTTTTTCAAGGCAATAAGTAACGCTATAAGCTACTGGTACTAAGCAAGTGGCTTTAGAGAAAAAAGTCAAGTTTAAACAACTTATTTAAATCACATTTACATTCTAACAAAATCATAAACAAGGTGTTCCATAAGACATTTTAAAATTAGCCGCCATATTGGAAAGAGAAAGCCTTTTTTGAAGTAACATCCATATTTTTAATGTCTTAAGAAACTAGTTTAAGTTCTCAATTGTAATTGTTTCCTCTAAATCTATAACCAATGGTGGCACAGTTAGAGACCTTGGGGTTTAGTGGCTATCTTGGATTAATTTCAAACAGTTATTTATCATCCAAAAATATTTGTTCAGACACCAAAAATGATTGTAATTTAAATATCTAGGACTATGTGTAATCAGACATTTTGTTAGTGGTTTTGTAGCTGTTTTCCAAGGGAGTCCTTAGAGCTAACGTCCATATTGGATTTGCCCACCATAAGAGCAATGTTAATTTAAAACATCCACTGAAGTTATTTACCATATCAAAATATTTTTTTCAAATACGAAAGGGATTGTAGTTTAAATGTCTAGGGGACTATGAGATTAGACATTTTCTTTGTAGTTTTTTAACTGTTTTATGAGTTAGCACAGCTAGGCTCAAAGGACTCTTAAGTTGCTTTTTGCCCTGCATACAAAGTGTTCAAGATCATCAAGCAACAATATTGTAAATCAAAGCATAAAACACTGATCAAACTGGATTTGAAAACATTACCTTTCCTCTCCACTGGTAGGATCAGTGTAGTTGGTCATGTAGAGTCCTACAATGTCTTTGGTCAAACTCCCGGAGTACTCCATGTAGAGGCTATAGGCCCCAGGCTGGAGCGACTCTTGAGGAATCACCACCCAGAACTGGTTGGGGGAGTACTCGAAGGTCTCCCGGAGTCGTACCTTGGTCGACCCTCTGGACAGGCTCGTGGTGGACACTCGGACGCCGTCTATGTTGACCAGGAGGTAGTCGGAAGGAGAGGAAATGTCGAGGGTGATGGTGACAGCCCCACTGAACACCCCTGTGGAGAGATCAGGAACGACCAGGATGGAGTAGAAAGATGGCCGAATGTTGGATGGTAGATGGAAGTCGCTCTCCCAGACCCGAGGGACGGCAGGAGTTGTTGCGGGTGACGAAGAGATCGGTGGAGAAACGTCCTTGATGTATGGACATTCTGCACCCGTGTCTGCAGAAACATGTAAAATTAAACCTGTTGTTAAATTGTAGTTCCACAGGCGATGTTCCTTTGATTGATTTTATAAAAACATCAGCTATCAAAATATTCAACACGCTTCCCAAAACTGTAAGAGATTAGGAGATACAGTAAAGTCTTTAAATAATAATCGGGGCTACCGTTACAGTTGGTGATGCTTTAGTGAATTCAAGTATAATGTTATTTGTTTAAAAACGTAAAGAAGAAAATGACTTAGTTAGATTTTGTGTTTTCATAGTATGTTTCATTAGTATTTGCAATAATAGGACACACAATGCAAATAATAGGGATATGATGAGAAATAATCGTTTTCACCATCATCTACTAAATCTTAAATGTGAAAGTTTGTGTGTTTGTTTGAAGTTCATCACGCAATAACTACAGGACGGATTGGGCTGAAATTTGGTATGGTGATCACATTCCCGATTAACATATAGGCCTATTCTTATTTCAAAATTCCTTTCTGGCTCCGCCCCAGTGGCTCTGCAGTTCCCAATGTTAACCTCAAGAGTATCTATCTATAATCTATAATATTAAAACGAAACAGTGTTTTTTTATTTCACGATTCTGAATCAACCACTTGACGGATTTTCATGATTTTTGTGTTAAAAGAAAGATAATTTTGAGAACTAGGGAATGTCGAAGCCATAATTTTAGTTTAGGGTTTCAGTTTTTTAGAAAATAAGTTTTAATTTTTAAAAAGTCTAGCAGCCGACGCTAGCAATTTAAAGTATTTTCAATGCTGGTTTAACTAACAGCTGGTTTATAACTGTCATTGAAATGTTTATGTTACGAGTTGTTTGTTTACAAAAATATTGTTCGTTGGTGTTTGCCTACATACTATTTCACTTTAAAATGTAGGTAGTTTTTCCCCTACCGTGAAGGATCTGCGTTATCAGGAAATGTGTTATTTTGAACTAAACATCTCAAACACTTGCGTTTAATCAAGCTTTGTCGTAAATGCAATCTGTGTAAGTATTTAGTTTATGCATTGCTAATTTCAACTCATATTTGGGAAATATTTTTCAGCAGTTTATCGCTTAATTGTTTAAGAGTGGTTTGCGTGTTGATACTTCTTTTTCTGTATGTTTGAATGTGAGTATGTCGGCATACTAAAATTTTGGTTAGTAATGAAAGCGTCAATCGGTGTAGTAGGTCTCTATAAAACTGTCAAATAAACCGCAGGGTGCAGTAGAAACCAAAGTCGACTCATACCATACCAACTATCCCCGTAGTACTGATGATTCAGAAACTTGGGCACTGACCAAAGAACCGAAAGACCTTAATGCTGGGTTAGATAATAAAGTGCAGAGAAAATATACAGACCAGTTCAAGATAACGGCCCGGAGGTCGAAATAAAAAAAGAACAGAGAGCTAAGAGAAATGTGTTAACACCCAAATATAGGGATGCTTTCCAGGAGTAGGTAAAGCTTGGATGGACAGGATGTGCATAAATTTAAAAAAAGTATATTCCAAGGAGTACCACACGATAGACGGGAAATATCAAGTTATGAAATGCATCCTCAGACTGGGATCTAAATTTTTAAGAGGCAGGTGATAGAAGAGAATCCTCATAAAAGTTTCAGTGGTCACGGAGGTAAGATAAGGTACGGAAAGTACATAAGTAGTACAGTATGCAATTGGAGGTGGCATGTAGCTACTCTACACAAAACCAGTGTGAATCGGTCGCTAATTTCACTTTAAGATTTTTCAAATCGACACAAATGCTGTTTTATGGTAAAATTATCGGATTTAAAATGCATATCGCCATATTTTAGGTCTATATTCGAATAGAATAAATAGGTGGTCACGTTACATTTGTTTATAGGGTGATCTTCCCCATTAAAATTGCCAGAATTTGTGTCTATGCGTGTAAACTAGATGTTCTGAATTATTCCGTTTTAGGTGACAACTCGATTCCCGTACGTAGGACGGGCCACCAGCTCGTTCATATTTAAAAGGAATTAAAGAATTTAGTCAGCTGTTTCAACTTAAAGCCCCCCATACACGGGCGAGCATGTTCGCGAGCATGCTCGTGACGGTGTTGGCGGCGAACATGCTCGCCCGTGTATGGGGGGCTTAACAAGTTGGTTCTATAATATACAATAATATTAAAAAGTTATAAGGTTTCCCAACAGGGTGCAGCACTATTATTTTTTGTTTTTTCATATATGGCAACAGCTAATTTAAACTAAGCAGCAATACAAAGCTGTGATACACAATGAGAACTGTCAAACTAGAATTGTTTACAGTTATGTTTATGTTTTTAATTTAACGAATAATTTGTGACATTGCACAAATGTTTGGTAATTTATATTTTCTATTGTTTAGGTGCAGTGTTAAAATATTATGGCTATGGTAGATGTGTTATACTATATCATACCGTAAATTTAACTAGGGTTGCTTTCAGAGAGGAGAAAGCCAGTTGAGCGGAACAAACGTGATTTGATATTTGTATAAGTAACTACCTAAATGTAAAAAAGTCAATAGATGTACTAATGCTGGTTTTATTGATTAAAATTATAATAATTCGGACGTATGTATAGTCCGTGGCTTGGCAATCAAATAACAGTATTTATATAGGATAGGCTACTGTTGTCAACATTTGAAATTACTGAATTGTTACCAAATTACTGTTTCACAAAACGCAGATTCCATTTTCAGCCGAGCCACTAAAATGAGGATTTGCCGAACAATTATTAATATTACAGAATAGTATTTAATGATATACAACTTTTCACATTTCATAAATTATATGTTAGTTTTGCTATGGTCAAAGGTCCAAATCCAAATTTTCTTTTCATTTGGTTTTTATGTAGTAATTTGCTAGAATCATTGACTTTATATAAAGTCAATGCTAGAATACAGTAAATGGTTTGTTAAGACCATATGCAAACATTTTTGAAATCGTTTCCCCGTTTAACCAACTATTCCAAAAGATAAAATTTATATGGTGCAACACAAATAAACGACTCGATCACCTACCTATAACCTACACGTTACCTCCCTAATCTAACCTTACTTCAAAACACTTAATGTAGTCACGAATACTCATAAACCCCGACCTACCTTCCCCACATGCCTAAATTAGATCAGTGTTCAATCTGCGTTTTATCAATAAGTGTAATAACTTACTGCACCGTTGATGTAATTCAACA